AGCAATGATGATATATAAAACACCTAATACAATGTCTAGAATTATTAATTCTCTTTCCTTTTAATTAAGCCAACTTCTTTATGTCATTTGTTATAAATAGGAAATCTATTCATGATATTGTTGAGTAGATTATAATTTTAAAGATTTACAATATTTCTAGATGATCTCAGAAATCTGATCATTGCCCAAACTTCTAAACCTAAAGTAGAAAGTAAGAAAAGCTTAAACTTTCTAGTATTCTCTTTGGTGTTGTTAGAATCAATCATACAAGAGAAGAGGCCAGGTCATGGCATGTTTTTACCTTCAGTTGAAGCATGGAGCTTCTTTTTAGCAATGGACATTGGATTTTCTAATCCAGTGAGAAAAGTTAATCTGCTTCTCATTAGAAAGAACCAATAAACTGTAAAACCCATAATCTTCCATCACAAAGTGACAGCAGTCATTATCATTTGCTATGTGTGCTTCTGGAGAGCTCTACTTGAAAAGACTTGGGATAGTGCTGTCCACGGTGACTAGAGATATGCTTGGTTGTTTTGTTTTATGCAACTGAGTTACTTCCTGTTTTCATGAGAATATCAATTTTGCAACAACTTTGAAGACAGGGATTATATGCCAACAGTGGAGATCTTACATCAACCCAAGAGAATCTGTGAGTAGCACAGGCTGCTTACAGGAAACACAAGAGGGAACGGTAGGTCTGCTGAGCAGAGGGGTAACAGTAAACCCAAATAATTAAGAACCGGTTTTCTAAGCCATCTAAGAGAGCTGCTCACCTAAATTCATTAAAAAATTAAAAGATGAGTACATTGGTAATATAAGGGATGAGTTTGCACAGATTCCTTTTTGATCTCTGATAGGATGAGAGCTACAGGAAATGAAATTCACACATTTTTAGTTAGATACTAAAAGGACAATGTCTGTTACTTATTAGATATTACTAAAATAGTTGGTGGAAACTGAATAAAATCCATTGAGAATGCCATTTTAAAATGAAATATATACACTAGCTCCCACTGAAAAGAGATAGGGAAATGAACGACTGTATGCTAAATAACTCATTTTTTAGTGCTGAAATTCTGTTTTTGAAAGAGAAACAATGTGATGGTTGATTTTAGTTGTCGACCTGACTAGATCAAGGAATACCTAGAGATCTTATGAAGAGTTATTGCAGAGTGTGCCTGTGAGGCTGTGTGCAGATAGAATACAATGTGAGTCTGACTAGACTGAGGAGGAAGATTCAACCTCAGTATGGTATCCAGGACCAGAAAGAACAAAAGAAGAAAAGGTGAGTGGATCTACCTAGCTTCTGGAGTTGGTATACACAGTTCTCCTCTTGGATATCAGAATCATAACTCTCCAGCTTTTGGATTCTAAAACCAGTGAGTTCCAGATTATGTCTTGGGATTGGGCTGAGAGTTGTACCATCGACTTCCTGGCTCTGTAGCATTTTGACCTCGACTTTGTCACACTACCAGCAAACCAGAGTTTGCCAATTTAGATGGCCTATTGGAGAACTCTTTAGCTCTCACCATCACATGAGCCACATTTCTAAGTAAATTCTCTGTCATATATCTATGTAGATCCTATTGGTTCTGTCTCACTGGAGAATTAATACTAAAACAATCATGCTAATTGGTGGTCTGGCTAAATCTCTTTCCTAAATGTTTCTATTTATTCCAGTGAAGAGTTCATTGTTATTTAGAAAGATACATTATTAGAAAAATGAGATTGTGCAAAGTATTTTAAGAAGGCTTTTAACCTAATAATGAACAGTGATTATATAATCCAAAAGTGCCTCTAATATCTGGAGACATAAATTGTCTGAGCATTATATGAAGACTCCTAGTGCTCAGTCTTTCACCCCGTGAGTGAGGGAAGTCAAGTGTCTGTGTAAGAAAATCCACCTTTATAATACCCTCAATCTCCCACTCTTCACCAAAGAGTCTGGGAAATAATTGATGAATTTTAGTCCAATCAGACATTTATTGACATAGATAGAAGTGCTTGCTCAAGGTCACACTTTCCACCTCTTCAATCCATCAGCAGCATCACCACCATAAAGAATATTTAGGTGGCTCATGCCTGTAATCCTAGCTACTCAGGAGGCTGAGATCTAAGGATCGTGGTTCAAAGCCAGCCCAGGCAGGAAAGACTGTGAGACTCCTATCCCAATAAAACACCAGAAAACCAGAAGTGGCGCTGTAGCTCAAGTGGTAGAGCACTCGCCTTGAGGGACAGTGCTTAGGCCCAGAGTTCAAGCCCCATGACCGACCGAAAAAAAAAGAAAAAAAAAAGAATATTTATGAATATCTATTTTAGGGAACTGTGATAACATATAATAAGTATATATGCATTTTTGTTAGAATATTTATGAATATCTTTTTTAGGGAACTGTGATAACATATAATAAGTATATATGCATTTTTGTTAAAATATGATAAGGCAAACTTTAGCAATGAAATACCTAATGTCAACATTTCCCTTCCAAAACCCATTATGGCAGTGGTTACAAAAATCCATTTCCTTTCAAATATTGGATGACAGCATGTTAAGTTTTAACTGATATGCACACCCCATATTTTGATGACGAGTGTAGTTTGCATACTGGATGTCAGTATTTGCATTGTTCAGAGAAAACATAGGTGATAACAGCAGAATGTTTCTCTTGACAGACACTGACTTTTAGTAGCAAAGAACTTTTAATTATCTTCTTATTTAAAAATGAAATAATGTAGCAATGTTCAAAGAATTATGTAATGGACACCAATATTTGCACTATCTAGGTCTACCACTAACATTTTGATTCATAACATACCTGCCCATCTAATATCTTACTATTTGTTAATATAGCATATATTTTTATGTATTTCAAAGTAGATGCATATAAGAGATAATATTGTGTCTGAAGGAGCAGAATCAAAGATTTTTCTTATTCCTACAAAAATAGCTAAAAAAATTATTAGATTAAGAAAAAAACATGAGGGCTGGGAAGGTAGCTCAGTGGTAGAGCGCTTGCCTTGCATGCCTGAGGCCCTGGGTTCGATTCCCCAGCACCACATACGCAAAAAGAAAAAAGCCGGAAGTGGCACTGTGGCTCAAGTGGTAGAGCGCTCGCCTTGAGCTGAAGAGCTGAGGGACAGCGCCCAGGCCCAGAGTTCAGGCCCCACAACCGGACCCAAAAAAAAAAAAAAAAAGAAAAAAACATGAGCCCTCAATTTTATACGCAGATACTCATGGTCATTCCCTCACAGTTTAGGCTCTAGAAAAAGCATAAGCTACTTGAGTGTTATTTTCTTCCTGATATCAGCCCAGTAGACTTTGATACTCATCCGAATACTGAAGATATGGGCTGTCAACTATATAGAAGTAAGATGTCTGCTACAGGTCATCAGAAAAAAAATTCCTGTTTTTACCTCTACATTCTAATATCCCTCACTCCAATAATTCCTTGAGGTACTGTACTTTTTAAATACTGTACTTTTTAAACCCCATTCCTCTCATTAATAAAATGTTTGTGTATTACTTATTTCACAGCCTTGTCATGAAGATCAAATAGAACACACTGTAAATATTACAGTGCTATGCACATCTCAAGTAGCACTGTTGATACTAATTTTCATGATTTATCCATAAAACAAACAAACAAAAACAGCTGAGGGAGTGGTCCACACTGCTCCTCAGTTTTTTCAGATTCATCATAAAGGATTTCAAAGGTCAAAGGGAGAGAATATTGGCAGGTGCCTTTACTCTCTCCATCAGTAAGTCATCTTGTCAAGGATCTAGAAGAACCTTGGAATATATTACATGGACTTGTTTTCATTAGTGAAGTGTTTGTTTTGGACATCATCCCAGATTTAAAGCAATGCTTCCATTAGCTGGGCACAGTACCTAAAGTTATCTATCTCATCTGACCGTTGCCAAACAATTCTACTTTCTGCATCCATTTACCGCGCTGGTGCTGAAAGGAGAACAAGACATTCACTCGATATGTAAGAAGACACAGAGTGTTTACTTCTTTGAAGTAACATATACAAATATATTTTGGGTAGAAATTCCTATAACAAAACATAACCAGGCACTACACATGATGAGTCTAAAGGTCATATAAACCTTCTGTTCCTGTAAGTGGGAACAGTTCTGCTACATGAGTATCTTAGGTTTACAAGGCATGAAGTAGTAAATTTTCTATTTGCTGTGTCTGGATAAACAAATCTCAAGAACATGAGGGGGCAAGATCAAAGCTGACTAGGGTACTGAGAAAAGATAAAATAAGTTAGGAAGCAAGTTCATGATCAATTGTTACTGAGAACCTGTCATATATCTGGCACTTTTTTATGCTTAAGGGACTTGAAGAGAAAGACTTGAATCACCCTTGCCCTCAAAAAGCATCTGTTCCACTAAGAGTTAGATGGAGAAACAATTGGGAGAAAGAAAACTACAAATTGTAAATAGATGAAATAAGATGCGCAAAAAGAGAAAAATAAGGGTGCCATGTGATTTGAATAAATATTAGTTATGTTTACAGTGTGGACAATATCATGGCAATCAGAGAACCCCCTAAGAGGATACATACAATTACCATCAAGGCAAAAGCATGCTTTTTAGGTAGGCAAAAGAGGATCAAAATGCAGGCTCATAGCCCATTAACTTCAACTGTCTAGAACTGCGATAAAGAACATATCTTATTGATAGTGAGATGGTTGCATTAAGCTAACATCTTCTTAACATTCTGAACACTCAAACATACAAGTACACTAGGTTGGCTCCACATTTTTTATGCAATTTTTAAATTATATCCATAATTTGTCTTCATATATGATATACATACTCAGGAAATAAAAACTAGCCAGAGTCAAGAACTTACTTGTCCTGCTAGAAATTAGAGTAATACACATATAGGTGTGTATTATCTGTAAACATCCAGATATTCAATTGTGCATAAAATAAAAACATTGATAGATATGTTTAGTTTAGTGCAGTTGGCTCCTTATTCATCATACCTGACTGCCCAGGAGGTGGGGCACCAGATGAACCTCGTGGTAGACAAAGAAACACAGTCAGAACGGCAGCTCTGTTTCCAGCACATGGTTCAATGGCTATTGGTTTGGGCGCCCCCTGGAAAAGAAAACCCAGTGTAAGTTTGCATAGGTGATATGGTATTGCTATTTTATTTTTTACTTCATTTATACTTCAATCAGCTCAACTACATTCTAGCTGTAGGGGAATACTATGTGTCATTTAACATTAACTCCTGGCAAGGTATAGATGTGCAAGCAGCCTTCATTTGGACACACTATTTCCTGTAAAACCACAGTTATACAGCTTTTATGTTTACCATTTCAAATTATCTCTTCTCACTAATGACATACCCCTTAGACTTCATCTATTTAAAGGATTGCAATATCAGTCCACACTGTTTAAATTTTTTTGTTTTGATGTATGTTTGCTATTTAAGCTTAAAGTATAAAACATGTATATATAATGGCATATATAATGGCATATATATGTATACATATATAATGGCATATATAATGGCATTATATACATATATGTATACATATATACATATATATGTTAAAGTTGCTACCACAGTCTAATAAATGAACACATTCATACTTTTACAGTTACCTTTTTCTCTTTGTGGTAAAAGTATCTAAAAGTCTACATCCTAGCATAATATCACTGTATAAATACAATATAATTAACTGTAGCCTTCCTGTCACTTATTAGACCTCTGAACTTATTCAACTAAACTTAAGTTTGTACTCTTTGACATACATCTCCATGTTTTGTCTTTCTCCCTCCTCCTAAGGACCATCCTTTGACTTTACTCCTATAACTGACTTTACAAAGAGACATATAAGTGAGTTTAGGTTGATAATATCTTTAGTGTTCTTTACTAGAATGCATTTTATTTTTTTTTTTTTTTTTTTTTTTTTTTTTTTTTTTTTAGAATGCATTTTAAATAACAACCACAGATGCACTTGCATAAATAGATTTTAAAAAGTAAATGAGTATGTAGTAAGAAAAGTAATAGTGTTTTATTAAAGTCTTACTATGGATTAGGTATTCAAAGTGCACACACTTACATGCCCCACACATATTTTCCCACAAATATGTACACAGAATTTGAGTTTAAATACACAACCTTTAATACAGTGAGGATATCATTTTAGCCTAAGAAGGTAGTTTGGGCTGTGTCATTCAGAACTACGGGTGAGACATGGTTGATATATCAAAGCAAAATTAAATAGAAGAAAGGCAAAATTAAATAGAAGAAAAACGCTGTACTTTTAATTGTTTGATTTATTCAGTTTTTTCCACTGATATTTGAACTTTTCATAAGAGATATAGACATATGTAGTCATTCACCCAGAAAATTCTAGAAAATTGTCATTTCCAGAAAGTTTAATGAGGCATTAAAAATAAAATATGTCCCCGTTCATGTAAAACTTAGACTGAAATTTCTGGTGACAACGGTTTTATGTGGTTATAAAGGATTTCTTCTCTATAGCAACATAAATCTCATGTTTTAAAATTATCCTCATACAGATAGATACATTTTGGGAGTTTTCAATACAAAGGTGAAAGTGGTCATGATGATGGGCACGAAGGGCATTAAAATGTTTTCAGAAAATGTGATGAGGCTTGTGGTATCCCTTGTATCAAGTTCTATGATCTATGATTTTATATTTTAAAGCTTATATTTAATTTATCAAACTTGTTTTTGAAAATGTTAAGTCAAAATCAGCATAAGTACATAGATTTTTATCCAATGGTAGAAATATTTAGAGGATTGGCTTGTCATATTACAAGACTAATTTAAAATACTATGAGCATCTATAACCATATTTCTAGGCAACTAAAAGTTATTTATTAATAAATGCAAAATATTTGTAAAGATCAGTTAGTTAAAATATGCTAAGAGAATGTAAAATTAATCCAAGGTTTGAATGATAGGTTAGAAATAAAATCCTCTCACCCCTTTGAACAAATAATTGGTCATTTTTGTAGTCATTTTGTTTGTTAGCACTCAATTAAACAATTGACACTACTTTGAATCTTCAAACTCATGTTACAAAAATATTGATTGCAAAGATTAAGACAGTAGAATTGTATGATGTTGAAAATAATGTTGAAAAACAGTATCTCTTGGCTTACGACATTTATAAAAAGTAAATGATTTGGTAGTACATTAGCCAGTCTTGTTGCCAGGCTACCTTCCTGTTTTTTAAAACCAGCAGGAAAGGTTTTAAATGTCAAATACTGCTGTTTAAAGATCAAAAGCATCAGCTGAAAGAAAAATTATTTAAAAAAAAACCCCAAAAACCAACAACTGTAAATTTCCAGTGAAATAGGTGGGGTATGTCCTAATTATGTACCACTTTAAACTTCAGAAGTTCAGCAATGGAGAGTGAGGTAAAATATCCACAGTGTAGGAAATTATGCCCACAAATAAGCTAATTCTGTAAAACTTTATAATATTTTTCTCATTACTTCAATTGTTATTGTAGAAAAACATTTACAACCTCTTTCTATAGATAAACTATATAAAAGGAGATCATAATTCTATTTAAAAAAAACTGGCTTATAACTTGGTATATTGTATAAAATTATTTCTGAAGAATGTGACAAATACCACTTTCAATACATAATTTTAAATTAAAAAATACTTTATAGTACTGGAATTTTACAACAGAAATAACAGACTCCCACAAATGATAATATTTTGAATACTCTGAGGTTTGCCAGTTGTTTTGTGATAAATACATAACCATGAATCAAAGTCAGTTCACAATGACATTACATGTTCACTGAACTATGCAATTTATCATGTATTTTCCATGGCTGCCTTTGAAAGAGATAAGGTTTGGGTTTATTTGCCCACAGCATTTGGGACTCTGATTTACTTCTAGGGTTTTTCATATTTGTTGTACGTGTATTAGAAAGCTGATATTAGACTGTGCCAGAGAACATCATTGGCAGTTAAAATTAACAGTCTTTGTTTATTAAGCACACAGCATTCTTATAAAAGACTTATTTGATTCATTTTAATGTTTTTGAAACTATTATATGCTTATTTTCAAGATTTCATTTTGATGAGCAATGAATTTTGTATTAAACTCTTCTTTTTATCTATTAAAGACTATACTAGAAAAGCTTCTGGAATCTTAAGTATTTTCAAGGTTAAAGTTCTTAAAACCCAAAATAATGTATTGTGAAAGTGAGATTTCCATCGGAGGCAGGATCTGTTTTACAAAATCACTATGACATGAATCACTGCAGGATTAGGATACTCCAATGGACAGACCTAGCTCTGGGTTCCTTCTTCACTGGCCCCTTCCAAGGATGAGTGAGTGGTTTGCTTAGAAATCATATATAGGCTCATCACTGCAAACCTTCCATTCAGAAGTTGAATAGTTAACAAAACTATCTGATGTCCTTGAACTAGCTATGAGAATTAAGGGAAGAAAATTCTATTACTCAAAGACTCAAAAGATTAAAAAAATATTACTTTCTGTCTTGGACTCTTCCAATAGTTTCAAAGTAGGGTTTGAAAACACAAATTCCTCTGAGGCCCAGATAGGTAACATATAGCCAATGTTTATTAAGTGCTTACAATATGTCAGTATTATAATAAACATGGTTTTAGTCTTACCCTATGCAGTAGTGACTATTTTCATTTTACAGGTGATGAAGCTAAAGCTAAGTGAGTTTAAGTAACTCACCTAATGTTGTAGACCCAGAGGGGGCATTAGGATTTGAACCAAGTGAGCTTCTACGTTTGTACACTTATAGTAGGCTGCCTATAACAGGCAAGATGACTTAGAATGAGACTGTAAACAGTGGTAGGCACTAGCTGGAAAGTGTATGACTTCTTTTAAGACAGTACATCTTAAAATATTTGCTCACCAAAAGAAATATCTGTGGGTCAAAATGTGAATGAGGGCTGCCATATTGTACTCTCTGTGGACTGCAGTCCAAAATAGCAACCCAAGGTCACCAAACTTCTGTCTATCCCATCATCTCATGCACCTTTAATTCTGCACAAGATTCATGGTTCATTCAATGTAAAGGCTCACTGTTTAAAATCTGTATCCAGCAGTTCCAGAAACTGTGATCTCTTTACTCATAATCTTTCTACTGTCTAGAAAAACTTTCTCATTGTCTTCTACTTTTCTTTCTTTCTTTCTTTCTTTTTTTTTTGTCTTGGGGCTTGAACTCTGGGCCTGGGCACTGTCTGTCAGAAGTTCAGCTCAAGGCGAGCGTTCTCCCACTTGAGCCACAGTGCCACTTCTGGTTTTCTGGTGGTTAATTAGAGATAAGAATACCATGGACCAGCTGGGAAGGTGGATCAGTGGTAAAGCGCTTGCCTTGCATGCATGAGGCCCTGGGTTCAATTCCTCAGCACCACATAAGCAAAAATAAAAAAGCCAGAAGTGGTGCTGTGGCTCAAGTGGTAGAGAGCCAGCCTTGAGCTGAAGAGCTGAGGGACAGCACCCAGGCTAGAGTTCAGGCCCTACAACTGGACCCAAAAACAACAATAACAACAAAAACAAAGAATACCATGGACTTTCCTGCCCAGGTTGGCTTTGATTCATGTTCTTCAGATCTTAGCCTCTTCGGTAGCTAGGAGGCGTGAACCACTGGCTGCCTTCTACTTTTTTAATCTTAAGCCTCTTAACAACTCAAATCATCTCATTGATGAATTTGTTCCTTGAAGTTATCTCCTTTTCATTTTTCACTTATACCTCTTATGTCTCTCTTTTTTACAGTAATAACAGGTAAGTTGTCTCTGACTCCTCTTGTTTAAGCTCCTGAATGACAGATTCAGTTTGTTTTTTCTTCTATATTTCTTTGTAGTGCTGTGGATCCAACTGGAACCCTGCACATGCTAAGCAAATTCTCTACCACTGAGTTACATCCCTAGACCTTGTGGGTTTTTTTCCCTTTTTCTTATTTTTATTTACTTCCTGTCTTTGAGATGCTTGACCACAGTGTTAACCTTTTAGGACTGCCTCTCCCAATCTTCTTCTCTTTTTTTTTAAAAAAGGTTTTGATGTATGTCTCCAATCCTTCGAGCAAACATCAAGTTACATTGTTCTTTGTCCTAC